TTCCACTCTGGAACTGATAAGGCTTCTTGCACTGTTCTGGGGATAGGGATATTGGCAATGGAAGTGAGATAGGACCTGTAAGAGGGAGATAGGCGATCATAGGATAGAAACTAGGAAATGCAGTGAGCTGTAGATGTGGTGCAATGTCGTTTCCCTTTACGGACGGCAATAGGGAGGTCAAGGTCATCCGTAGGAGGGGAAGTAGCAACAGTGGAAGGTATCTCGGTGGGCCCTGGGACTGTAATACCTGGATCTGGAGCCGTAGAAGGAACTGGAGCTGGCCTGGACTACTGATGACCGGGATCAACCTGCCTGCATCGCCTGTGATAGACTTTCAACTCCTGATCCCTCTGACCACCCTCACCATTACAGCCTTCATCACTCAATGGAATGGGTAAAGGAACAACCTCAGATGTGTTAACCCCACTCTCACTGCGCTCCCCCTAAGTAAAAAGACCCAAATCCCCACTCTCACTGTGCTCCCCCTGAGTAGAAACCCTAGGATAATAGGGTGTCTCCTCAAAGAAGGTGACATCCATCGAGACAAACTTCCTCCCTGAAATAGGATCATAGCAGCAATAACCCTTTTGAGTTGGTGCATAACCGAGAAAAATGCATTTGGAGGCCTTAGGGTCAAACTTGGAATGAGGGGGCCCGAGAAGCTGAACTAACCAAGTACAACCAAAGGTTTTAAGAGGAACAGTAAACAACTCCTCGTCTGGGTATAGAAGGGTAAAAGGAGGTTTCATATCAAGGACCTGGGAAGGAACCCGATTAATGAGATATACTGTCGTGAGGATAGCATCACCCCAGAAACAAGTACAACCAAAGGTTTTAAGAGGAATAGTAAACAACTCCTTGTCTGGGTATAAAAGGGTAAAAGGAGGTTTCATATCAAGGACCCGGGAAGGAACCCGATTAATGAGATATACTGTCGTGAGGATAGCATCACCCCATATCAAGGCCACCTCCAAGATGTGCCTATTCTTCCTCTCGGCAACCCCATTCTGCAGTGGTGTATGAGGACAAGTGCTCTGGTGAATAACCCCATGATTAAGTAGGTAAGAGGTCAAAGGCTTAGCAAAGTATTCCTTTGCATTATCAGATCTGAGGACTTTGATTTTGACCCCAAACTGGGTTAGAATCATCTGATGAAAGTTTTGGGTCAGAGCGGGAACCTCATCTCGAGAACGCATAAGATAGACCCAAGAAAACGGGTATGGTCATCAACAAACAACAGAAAATATCTGTACCCACCCATAGAAGGGATGTGATATGGCYCCCAAACATCAGTATGCACAATATCAAAAGAATTATTACTTCTTTTATTACTCAAAGAATAAGATGTTCTACAATGTTCGACAAGCTCACAACTCTCACATCTCAATTTTGACATCTCAACAGACTCAAATAAAGTAGGAAACAAACTCTTCAAAGACCGGAAAGATAAATGACCTAATCGATTATGCCAGAGCATAACCGGACTCACAAACTGAGAAACAAAGGACTTCTTATCCACTGGCTCTTTCCAACGAGAACTTTCTCCGAGCAGATAGATCCCATTCGTCTCACGGCCAGTCCCAATCACCTTCCTCGTCTCCAAGTCCTGAAAAACACATCGGTCAGGGAAAAAAGTTACTGAACAGTTCATATGTTTGGTAATACTACTGACTGAAAGCAAATTAGTATCAAGTTTAGGAACATGCAAGATTGAGGATAAAGAGATAGTATCAGGTAACTTGATGTCACCCTTGCCAGAAATGGGAACAAGAGAGCCATCAGCAATGGATACTTTATCTCTACCAGAGGATAAGTGATATGTAGTGAACAACGATGGCAAGCTAGTCATATAGTCGGATGCACTTGAGTCTATTACCCAACAGTGTTCAGTATTACCTGGAGCTGAAGCATGGTAGGCTGAGGCTCGAGTATCTAAATGAGCAAATGCAGATGTGGCAGGGGCTGATGGTGACTGAGATGACTGAGCTGAACTCCCAACTTCCTTTTCTAACTGTATAAGGGCAGCCCAAACAGCGGCTAAGGTCTCTAGGGGTGTGCCTTTTGTGCCTGACGAGGATGTAGAATCAGTATTCACAGCCACATGAGCATTACCCTTCTTATTTCTTAGTTTTGTTGGGACTAAATGAGGGTGCAGCTTCCAACAAGTATCTTTCGTATGCTTGGGTTTCTTGCAATGTTCACATACCAGATCCCGTTTATCTTCCTTCTTTCTGTCCCTTTCTGTATCACCTTCTGACTTAGGTTTAACAACTGCCAGGGCTAGTGAAAAGGACTGATGTTGCATCATAACTTTCCTCCTGGTCTCTTCACTATGCACCAGGGAGTATGCTTGAGAGAGGGTCACACTATCTCTGGTCAGTATCTGTTGCCTCACAATGTCATAATCTGAATTCAGGCCAGCTAGAAATTCAAACACCCTATTGGTCTCGACTTGCTTTCTATAAGTCTGTGCATCTTTGGGACTTTCCCACTCGAGTTTCTAGATGGTCAATTTCATGCCACAGGGATTTCAAGGTAGAGAAGTAGACAGAGACTGGTTTCTCTCATTGTTTAAGACTATTCACTTCACACTTCAGTTCATAGGCTCTGGCAACGTTAAGGGGTTGGGAATAGGTCTCTTTCATGATATCCCATATCTCCTTGGCTGTCTTTGCCCACAAGTAATTTCAGCTGATATGTGGCTGCATAGAGTTGCACAGCCATGTCATAACCAAGTAGTTCTCTTGAACCCA